ACGAACGCTAACCCCGCCCGGGGAGCCCGCCCCAGCTCACCTTCGCTCTGCCTCCTCCACTGAGCATGCTGGCGCCACTCTAATTCTCCTTCCCTCCCAGGCTTGCGGCGCAGATTGGAGAATTAGAGCAGGGGCTGCATGCTCAGTGGAGGAGGCAGAGTGGAGGTGATCTGGGGTGGGGAGCGGTTCCCCTGTGCGCCCCCCACCCCCATTACTGCAGGCGGCCCTCCCAGCGCCCCCCCACCCCAGCTCACCTCCACTCCACCTCCTCGCCTGAGCGGGCTTTCAGGCGCCCTAGGTGGCCGCCTAGTTCACCTAGTGGTTGCACCGGCCCTGACCACACCCTCTGTTCAGATAGTGTAGTTTGAGATTAGTTTGTTCATTACCCATGGTGTCCTTTGACTCTCTCTCTCCCATGTAATCAGTCACTGGCTTTTCTTTCCCTCCAGTGTTGCCTCTGTGTGGGCTCTTAATTTAATCATGTTTCTGGAATTTTGGTGCCTCAGGGTCTGGCAAGATAGGTGTTCAGGGGGATCCTGCACACTGGCTGGCCCTTTGGGGAGCGGTCTCCCAACCCCAGGACTGTACATATGTAGAAAATCCAGCTTCCCTTTTGGGGTTACCCTGTGTGTTCCCCTTTCACTGCCCTCTAGAGGGCGGTGATCTGTGCTCTCTGGGCTGGGTGTGTTTACCCTTTGATCAGATTCACCCTTTCCAAGCAGCTTTCCCATAACTGCTCTCTGTATCTCACCAGCCTGGGGGAAAGCACACCTCCCCCCGCCCCCCATGAGTTGGGTCATCTGTATTCTGGCAGACTACTGCCTGGCAATTTCCTGATCTCAACTCCTCTGCTGTTAAAGGCGCTGGAGCTGCATCTTGATGTAAAGAGACACCGTTACTTTCCAAAAACTTATCAGGAATAGCATCCTGAAAAATTGGGACCTGGATTGGAGTACCCTCCATCACCCCTTTCTCTGTCCCCGAGAAGTCAGCTGTGTGACTGCTCCCCTCTGGGAGCTCAGTTACACAGTTCCTTCTCAAAACCTGGGTCAGAGGCGGAGTGCCAGGGTGCACAGATGCTGATCCAGCCATCCTCCTAGTGTCCTGGGCATCCTGCCCTAAGTGACTAGTGAGGAGACATTCCTGTACCCCCACTATTCCTTCCCCAGTTTCCTCCTCCGCCCCCTCCCCCCCCCCAAGACACATTTCTCTGTGTTCTCTAGGAAGGGTTCTGTCTTTTGTTCAGCTGCAAAGCTCTGCCAGCTAACAACTGGGACAGTTTCCTTAATTACAGACAACACCTCTCCTGTCCCTGCGCCTGAGCGCATGTTGCCTTCTGCTGGGAAGGAGCTAGTCTCAGCCCCTCCCATACTTGGAAGCACACTGCTTCCCTGTGTTAGTGTCATAGGAAACCTCATCCACCTCAGTGGTTTCTGAGATCCCCTGCCCCTTCTCTTGGCTCTCCTCTGGGACACATTGCTCTATGCTCGCTAGAGCCTGTTTTCCTTCTGGTTCAGCTGCGACCTGTTGGCAGCTAACAACCTAGACAATTCTCTCCTTGGCAGGCATTACACCCCCATTCCTTTCTCCCTGGCTGCCTCTTTTTCTTTTATCTCCAGTTCTTTCAGTTGTAGTAATCTCTGGTGCTCCCTCGCCTTTTCTGCAGACTGAAACCTAAAAAGCTCCAACTTTGCAATTGCTTCACTGCTTTCACTCATTTTCCTGCTTTCCTGTTTTTACTTCCCTTTCCCGAAATAAGCAAACAGGAAATAACGAAACTATGACCTCCTCCTGACTGTTTTTAGCCACTGCACTTCTGACTTGCTTAAAATCACAAATATCAGTGCTTAAAGTGTGATCTTCACTTGTAGTAACAAGCCGTACAACAACAAAAGATCGCTGCACCACTGTGACGTTCCCCTCTCGTGTTATCTAGGCCTCTCCAATCCTTGACTCTGGGAGCCAGCCTTACTCTGCTCTGCTGTGAGAACCCCCACAGCCTCTGGTATGTTAGCTGCTCCCAGCTACTTGCAAGCTAATGACACTAGCCAATATCTCCGGTCCCAGACACAACCCTGGGAACCTCTGTCTTGCAGTGTCCAGTATGCCCGCTGTACACTGCAAGCTTATATAAAAGTTAGTCAATTTAACAAAGAAATGTATATGTACCAGGCTTGTTCTCTCAATACAAACCAAACACACTGCTTCAGGTAGAGTAAACAAACAGATTTATTAACTATAAAGGTAGATTTAAGTGATTATAAGTCAAAGCATAACAAGTCAGGTTTGGTCAAATGAAATAAAAGCAAAATGCATTCTAAGCTGATCTTAACACTTGCAATGTCCTTAAAACTTAGATGCTTCTCACTACAGGCTGGCTTTTCAGTCAGGCTCTCCCAGGGGTGAAAGTAACTTACAGGACTTACCGGTACTGCCGGAGTCCTGAGGGGGCGTGGCCTCATCTGGAAGAGGCATGGCCTCAACCGGAAGAGGCAGGGCCTCTCAAGATTTAGAGGCCCTGGGGCACCAGCTGTGGCTGGGAGCCCCAGGGCCTTTAAATCAACCCGGGGCTCCCAGCTGCAGAGATGGCTGAGAGCCCCCGGGGCTCCAGCCATCGCGGAGCTCTGGGCCCTTTAAATCCCCCCCACAGCTCCAGCTGCCAGAGCTGCAGGGAGGATTTAAAGGGCTTGAGGCTCCCCACAGCGGCGGGAGCTCCGGGCCCTTTTAAATCCCGGCCCCAGCCCGGCAGCTGGGCTTGGGTGTGGATTTAAAGGGCCCGGAGCTCCCGCCGCTGTGGGGAGCCTCAAGCCCTTTAAATCCCGGCCCCAGCCCGGCAGCTGGGCTTGGGTGTGGATTTAAAGGGCCCGGAGCTCCCGCCACTGCGGGGAGCCCCAAGCCCTTTAAATCCCGGCCCCAGCCCGGCAGCTGGGCTTGGG